CTTACACTTCATGGTACCACAGGGACTGGCCAGCAGCTCCACTAGTTCCACTCAGGCTTGTTGGCTCCCAGTGTCACTCCAGAGAGGAGTTGTCAAGGGGCAGAGTGTAGGCAGGAAGGGAGTTTGGGGGAAGGGGTGGAATGGGGATGGGACTGGAGCAGGAGTGGGGCCTTGGGGAAGCAGTGGGGAAGAAAGGAGTGAAATGGGGGCAGGGTGGGGACAGGATTTGGAGAAGAGGTGGAGTGAGGGCGGGTCTGGGGTGGAGCAGGAGAATCAAGCATCACACACACACACACACACACACACGGCTGGAGCTACAAACCCCTTGCCCCGCACAGGGGAGCAGCCCAGGGGCTAAGGCTGCAGAATTACTAGTGGCCTAAGCACTGCCTGGGGAGGACAACGAGCACCGCTCCTCCCCAGCAACAGCATCTGCAGGACGCTCTCTGGGCTGAAAATGGGGATTTCCAGCATCCCGCCTGCGCCCAGCAGAGCACCTCCGGGTCTGCCTGGGCTCGGTGTGTCTGGTACCCGGGTCCCCACTTCACACTGGCTATTTCAGCTCATCGAGCTCGGGAGAAACTCGGTAGCCCAGCAGGAAGCAGGCGAGCGGTTCGCCCCTCAGGCCCCCAGCTCCTGGGCTCGCTGGCTGCCTGCAGGCGTAGCTGGGGCTGCCGGGTCAGGGAGGGGAAACAGCAGCTATTGAGTTACAAGGCCCAGAGGATTCCAGCCGGTGGGAGCCGACAGGCCGAACAGACCCTGGCACCTCTGGAGCCATCCCCTGCCGCCCTCTCACAAGCCCAGAGCAGCTGGAGGGGCCGGCCTGCAGGGGGGCTCCCCAGGAGGCAGAGGACGCCGTCTCCCGGCACTGCCTACCTTTCCCGGGGTGGGGAACGCCTGATGGAGCGGCCGTGCTGTGGAGTCTGTTCTCTCAGCCGGCACCTCGCCCAGGCGCGCGGCTTCCTGAGGCGTTACACAATCCCCCGGCCCAAGGAAAAGCCTCGCGCCCGCGCGCACGGGCAGGCCCAGGGCTGCTCGCCACACTGGACCTTGCCCAGACTCAGTGCGTGACAGGACTGTGCTCCAGCTCTGGGCTTTGCTTGGGATGGCCCAGAGCCCCCCGGAGGGGACAGGCGAAGCGGGGGGAAGCACAGACTTCCCCGGGCGACCCAGCCGCTGGCCTCCTGCAGAAAGAGGAACTGAGGGCTGCAGCAAGAGCTGGGCAGCAGAACACTCTGCAACCGGACAAAGGCACCAGGGCCGCAGGGCCGATTGCTCAGCTGATAAGACTGACACACGCCGGCCCTGGAAAGCCACATGGTTGGGACAAACCCGCCAGCCCCAGTCACACAGCTGGAGCTGCAGCTGCCCCCGTGGCGAGTCTGAGGGGTTTGCATTTCAAACAAGGCCCTGTCCTGGGCCCAGGGCTGCACCCTCCTGCTGCTTCCGAAAGGCTGCTCTGAAACGAATGTCTCCCCGCGGGCTCGCGGCACGGCAGCCCGACTCCTGGGGACGGGGAAGGCGGAGCCCAGCAGAAGGGGTGGGGCTCGGGCTTGCCTTCCCCACCTTGGCCCTCACCTGCTGCCCATATGTCACCCTCCTCAGAAGAGCCAGAGGACTCAGAGCCTAGAGCCGGACTTCCTCTAATCCGCCAACACCCAACCGTGTATTGTCACGGGGAACCCTCTCGCCCTCTGCTCCATTTGCCTTCCCTGCAGCTGCCTTCCCTTCTCCCCTCACTCCGCAGCCAGCTGCCCCGTTGGGCGCCGACCTGCGCAGGGCGGCTGGGGGAGTACCGCACCGGAGGGCTCCCCCCGCGCGCACAATCTGCCGTGCACCCAGCTCGGGAGCCGTCTGTGCTCAGGAGCCACACGCCCCCCCGTGGAACACGCCGAGCCCGGGGAATGTCACCGTCAGAGCACGCAGCAGCCCCTCCCCCGGCAGCGGGCACCAGGACCGGCTTCTCTGGAGCCAGGTCGGCACCAGTTCCCACCGCTCTGCAGGGCAGGGCCTGCTCTTGTCAATCTAGCACCTCACCCCACAGCAAGGAGACCCCCCAAACCTGTAGGGCTGAGCGAGTCAACGGGATTTCAAGGAAAGTTGGGACAGTGCGTGTAGCGACCTCCGCCTACCACTTCGACTGCACTCACACGGCAAGAATCTGATGCTTAGCAATAAAATGGAGAAGTGCTAGCCACTGTCCTGTGTGCAGGACCTAGAGAACTGCTTTCTCCAAGCTGGAGGAGGGCGGACCCAGGCAACGCCCAGCAGACAGGCCCACAGACCTGTGCTGGGACCTGCCAGAATACCCACCCAGAGTGCTTTTTAGCCCAGGATCTCCAAGCACCATGCAAAAAGCAAGGCATGTAGCATTATCCCCATTTTAGAGATAGGAAAACTGAGGCACTCTGCTGGAGGGGGAGAAGTGCAGCGATGTACTCCCAGATTTGGACAAGAGCTCTCACAAAGAAGGTTCCCCCTCATTCAGCTACATGCAGAAGGCTCCCAGTCAATTCGCCCTCCCTCACACAAGAAAATAATCCAGTCTCTACCATCTTTCCCACATAACTCTTCCACACTGCCCTCATCACAGCCCTCCACCCTGACACCTGAGCCACGCTTCTCTCACGCCGCCAGCTGCTCTGCTAGGAGTCTCCTATGGAGAAGTGGGGATGGCAGGTGGGTTGTCTACCACCCTTTGGCTGTGGGGTACTTGGCTGGACATGGAAAAGGCCATGCTGCAACGGTGCCATTTATCGAGGGTTAGGGGAGGCAGTAGCCCCCCTAAAGTCTGAACCCCTGGATTTCATAGTTGAGGTGTGCTTAGAGCACACACCCTGGCTCTCTCAGCTGCAACAGTTTGAGCAGCTCGCAGCTTTGCCTTTGGGGCAGGGAGTTAGTTGCAAAAAGAGAGAGGCAGGTGATTACGAACAACAAAAGGCTGGAAGGACCCTTCGATTATCATGAGAACATGGCCGGGTGCGCCACTGAACAGCTAGGGGACGAGGAGGAATGAGTGTTGTACCGGGGGGATTCGCACTTGGATCATGGATGAGAAACCTAAAAAATGTTCTTGAAAAAAGGAGTAAAGAGTGAGGTGGCAAAATGTGCAGGTACGACACATGACTCCAAACAGGTGAGTCCAAAGCTGACTGCAAAGAGTTACAGAGGATCTCACAACACTGGGGGACTAGGCAACACAAGGGCAGATGGGATTCAGTGCTGATACATGCAAAGGAATGCACACGGGAAAACAATCCCAACTACACAGACAGAAATGATGGGGTCTAAAATAGCTGTTCCCACTCCTGAATGAGCTCTTGGAATCACTGTGGATAGCTCCTTGGACACATCTGCTCAATGTGCAGTGGCAATCGACAAACTAAAAAGCAAATCAAATAGGGGGATTCCTTAGGAAAGGACGAGATAAAAAGACAGAAAAGATCACATTGCCTCTACAGAAAGTCATGGCACACCCCTATCTTGACTGCTGCACGTGGATCTGGCCATCCCATCTAAAAAAAGATCTGCTGGGTTTGGAGAAGGGCAACAGAAACGATCCGGCTAAGGAACAGTTTCCATATGACGAGAGATTAACAAGACGGAGACTTTTCAGCTTGGAAAAGAAATGACTAACAGGTGGGGGATATGTTAGAGGGCTACAAAATCATGAACAGCGTGGAAAAATAGAACAAGGAAATGTTATTTATCCCTTCACTAACATAACACCAGAAGCTGATGCGATGAAATTATCGGCAGCAGATTGGAAACAAACAAAAAAAATTATTTCTTCATAGTCAACCTGTGGACTCTTTGCCAGGAGATGGAGGAAAGGTCCAAACCCGAACAAGGTTCCAATAAGAACCAAGTAAGTCCAAGGAGGACAGGCCCAGGGTGGGCAGGGAGCGGGTCCCTGGCGTCTGTTTGCCAGAAGAAGGGAGTGGGCGACAGGGGACGGATTGTGATGATGCCTCTTCCGTCCGTGTTGTCTGCAGCACCTGGCATTGGCCGCTGATGGAGGACAGGACACTGCGCAAGATGGACCAGTGCTCTGGCCCAGTGTGGCCATTCTGATGTTCTTATCCAGAGCTGAAATGTACCTGCCCCCTGCTGTAACCACTGGGCCCTGCCCCCCTCCAGAGCAGAGAGTGAGCCCAGGAGCCCTGGCCGTCTCCAGTGACCAGGTCAAGGTACAGATTACAGTGTTACGGCCAACCAGTGTCCTTTCAGTGCCTTGTCACAAGAAGGCAGACGTTCGTATTAGAACAGCAGAATGGGTCTATTTCTCTGGGGATTCGACACAGCGCTCCTGCCAGCTAACTGCTACGTTACCTGCCCAAAAGCTAGAGTTTTCCGGTGCCATAGTAGCCCTGGAAAGCGGTGCTGTGTGGGGCAGGAAGGAGAATGGATGTGCTGCTTGGCTTGCACTGAGCATGCTCAGTAGCACCGCTGAAGCCGCTGTTCTCAGTCTGTGCCCCCACGCCCTCACTCTGCCCCCGGCCATCACGGCTTTCGCCGGTCCCTCCCCCCGCCGCGTCACGCTGGGGCTCCTCACAGCCCGCTCCTCGCCATACCCGGCTGCGCGGTGGGGGAGAGCACTTGGCACTTGCTCCCTGTGCCTTGCTGGCAGTGGGGGTCCCTGGGGCGCTGCAGGGCAGCCTCCGCCTGGTGAGCGGCAGGAGGGAAGCGACGGAAAAGTCGGCCCCAGCCCCAGAGGGGAGGCCTGAGGAATCTCTGCCTGCCCGGCCCTGGCGTCACCTGCTTCCACTCAGGGATATGCCCAGGCCTGGCCTGAGGATGCCAGGGCGGGCCAGAGGGGAATCTCTGGCACAAGCCCTAAGCCTAGTGACCCCGTGTGGGTCCCAAACAAGAGGAGGGCGTCCCTGGGTCCCCACCCCCTGCCCCAGGAGTGAAGCCAGCAGCCTCTCTCCTCCAGCCCTGGCAGGCACGGTTCAAGCCTTAGGCCCCTGCAACGCACCAGGCCACATTGCCTGGCGCCCTGCAGCCTCCCCTCCTGGGCCTCCGGCTGGCTCTGCTCGCTGGGCTGTTACCGCTCAGCCGTGCGGCCGCACGAGGCCGCCCCGTGGTTCCCAGCAGGGGGACTGCCGCCCAGGACCCTCCCTGCCCCCCCAGCCACTGTCCCAGCAGCGACACTTACCCACAGCAGCATCCTGCTCCTGGTACACAGGCCGCAGCAGCTGGAAGACACAGAGCAGGCAGGGCCTGGTGACCCAGTCCCCCTCAGCCCTGGAGCCCGGAGATCTCACTTCTCGGGCACGCCGAGGACAGCCTGGTGACCTACCTGCTGCAAAGCCTCCCCAGCTCCCCCCGGCTGGGCACAGCCCGGCGGACCCACACCTGCGGGACAGCCAGCCCTCCCGCACCTGAGCACACCGCCCCAGCCCCCCCGTGCAACCCGCCGGGGGATGGGAGGGGCCTTTGGGCCACAGCACCGGCAGGGACGCCACATTTAGCAAAGGCCACAAGAGCATCGCCTCCCCCTGGGCTAGAGTCCCTTCAGATGGGCACCAGACTCCCTGGCGGGCCCTTACCCCCCCACTCCCATCTAGCAGGCCTCCCCTGCAGACACCACACACCAGGCGTCCCGGCGGCAGCTTGGGAGGCCAAAGGGATCACTGAGGTTGGCCTGTGCCACGCCCCTAGGACCTTCCTTGGTCCTGCGCAGGGCCAGGCTGGGGAGGGGCAGGGCCTGCCGGGGAGCAGCAGAGAGGCTGAGCTGGAGGCAGGATCACAGACTAGCTGGAGCTGTGGGGTGTCGGCCCCCTGGCTGCAGACCTCACGTGCACCCAGAGCCCAGTGCCCCCCTTCCAACACCTGTGTCTGGCAGCTCCACGGCCTGCATCCCCCTCCCCAAAGGGACCCATGCAGGGGGGGCCTCCCTGGGACTCAGGGGACCCCGGGGCCCCGCAGCTCCAGAAAGCCAGAGTGTCAGAGACAGAGCAGGTCTCGGGCCGCCAACAGAGCCGCTCCGAGCTCCCGAATGCTCCCCGAACTCCCTGGT